TTTGCGAAATCGTGTAGACGTAAAATTAGCACACACTGAGAAAAAATTAAAGAAACTTGTAGCAAAATCTTGTCTCAAAAGGTTTGAAATTTTAAATGAACATTTAGTAGTTTTTGAATTTGAAAAGGTGAAACTCTTACTAAACAGACCTATTTACATTGGTCAAGCAGTTTTGGATATTAGCAAAATCGTAATGTACAATTTCCATTACAACTACATAAAACAGAAATTTGGAAATCGAGCTCAACTCTGTTTTACAGACACTGATTCTTTTTTATATGACATAAAATCTAAAAACATTTATAAAGAGATATCTGTTGACAAAGATTTGTTTGATTTTTCAAATTATCAAAGCACTCACGCGTTGTTTGATTTGAAGCACAAAAAAAGTTAGGAAAATTTAAAGACGAATGTGGGGGGAAAGTAATTCAAGAGTTTGTAGGATTGCGATCCAAACTGTACAGCTATCGCGTAAAAGATGTAGACATATGCAAAGCTAAAGGTGTTATGAAAAATGTTATTTCAAAAGATCTTACACTCGAGCACTATAAAAATTGTTTATTTAGAAACAAAATTGTTCGATGTGAAATGGATGCAATAAGAAGTTCTAAACATCAGCTACAAATTGAGAGGATCAATAAGATTGCAATAAGCGCTTTCGATGATAAGAGATATTTATGTAATGACATTGAAACTCATGCGTTTGGATATTTCAGCGATGATGTGACTATTGTTTCATGAAAATTTAAAACATTGGCAATGCTTATATACCAATTCCATCAAACAGATGTTATATATGAACATTTATTTGAATATATATTGTAACATGTATTTTATGTTTTTATTTAATCATGATATTTTATTAAAGTGATTGACTATCAATGTTTTTTGTTTTTTTATTTTTGCATTTTTTGACAGTGAGATGTTTTTTTAACGTTGTGGTAGTCTAACGTGTAAAATATTTAATTTGTATATTTTAATTTAAACAATATTTTATTCACTGATGTTAATGTGAATAGGGTTGAACAGCAGGCTTAGTCTATTATTAGTCCTCGCTCTACATTAAAGTCAGGGTACAAAATAAATACTAATAGAATGAACAAAAGAAGAAAAAAACAAAAAATGAACAAAGTAACTGAAAAAAAAAATACAGAAATTTAATTTTGTATATCTTACATTATAAACATTAATTCAAATTCCGATTTATTGTGTATAGAATAGTTTTGTGTAAAATGCAATGATCTGCATTTATGTGCAATACATTTTTTCTAATTTAAATTCTTTTTCTCTTTAATTACCAAAAATCAACAATTTACTGAAATATGATTCAGACCAATCTATATTTAATCAATCAAATTCTGTTAAGCTCAGATATTTAATTTCCCATCTCAGAAGTATGGAAGAAGAAAAAAAACAAAACAAACAAACCAAAAAAAAAAAAAAAAAACAACTCTCGTATTCCTGACTGGTTTTCTTAATTTTTTCCTTGAAAATGTTTTTCATCTTGTTTTGCTACAAATTATGTCCTGAAACATTTTATTTGACCAAGACAAAGTTATTAAGCATTATTGAAGGAATTTATTTCTCAAATTTGATAAATCTGTAGACACCTTTCATATATTAGATCTTGACCTTAAGAAATTTTATTTTGTATATCTTACATTATAAACATTAATTCAAATTCCGATTTATTGTGTATAGAATAGTTTTGTGTAAAATGCAATGATCTGCGTTTATGTACATTACAATTTTTTTAATTTAAATTCTTTTTCTCTTTAATTACCAAAAATCAACAATTTACTGAAATATGATTCAGACCAATCTATATTTAATCAATCAAATTCTGTTAAGCTCAGATATTTAATTTCCCATCTCAGAAGTATGGAAGAAGAAAAAAAAACAAAACAAACAAACCCAAAAAAAAACAAAAAAACAACTCTCGTATTCCTGAATTATCAAAGCACTCACGTGTTGTTTGATTTGAAGCACAAAAAAAAGTTAGGAAAATTTAAAGACGAATGTGAGGGGAAAGTAATTCAAGAGTTTGTAGGATTGCGATCCAAACTGTACAGCTATCGCGTAAAAGATGTAGACATATGCAAAGCTAAAGGTGTTATGAAAAATGATATTTCAAAAGATCTTACACTCGAGCACTATAAAAATTGTTTATTTAGAAACAAAATTGTTCGATGTGAAATGGATGCAATAAGAAGTTCTAAACATCAGCTACAAATTGAGAGGATCAATAAGATTGCAATAAGCGCTTTCGATGATAAGAGATATTTATGTAATGACATTGAAACTCATGCGTTTGGATATTTCAGCGATGATGTGACTATTGTTTCATGAAAATTTAAAACATTGGCAATGCTTATATACCAATTCCATCAAACAGATGTTATATATGAACATTTATTTGAATATATATTGTAACATGTATTTTATGTTTTTATTTAATCATGATATTTTATTAAAGTGATTGACTATCAATGTTTTTTGTTTTTTCATTTTTGCATTTTTTGACAGTGAGATGTTTTTTTAACGTTGTGGTAGTCTAACGTGTAAAATATTTAATTTGTATATTTTAATTTAAACAATATTTTATTCACTGATGTTAATGTGAATAGGGTTGAACAGCAGGCTTAGTCTATTATTAGTCCTCGCTCTACATTAAGGTCAGGGTACAAAATAAATACTAATAGAATGAACAAAAGAAGAAAAAAACAAAAAATGAACAAAGTAACTGAAAAAAAAAATACAGAAATTTTATTTTGTATATCTTACATTATAAACATTAATTCAAATTCCGATTTATTGTGTATAGAATAGTTTTGTGTAAAATGCAATGATCTGCGTTTATGTGCAATACATTTTTTCTAATTTAAATTCTTTTTCTCTTTAATTACCAAAAATCAACAATTTACTGAAATATGATTCAGACCAATCTATATTTAATCAATCAAATTCTGTTAAGCTCAGATATTTAATTTCCCATCTCAGAAGTATGGAAGAAGAAAAAAAACAAAACAAACAAACCAAAAAAAAAAAAAAAAACCAACTCTCGTATTCCTGACTGGTTTTCTTAATTTTTTCCTTGAAAATGTTTTTCATCTTGTTTTGCTACAAATTATGTCCTGAAACATTTTATTTGACCAAGACAAAGTTATTAAGCATTATTGAAGGAATTTATTTCTCAAATTTGATAAATCTGTAGACACCTTTCATATATTAGATCTTGACCTTAAGAAATTTTATTTTGTATATCTTACATTATAAACATTAATTCAAATTCCGATTTATTGTGTATAGAATAGTTTTGTGTAAAATGCAATGATCTGCGTTTATGTACATTACAATTTTTTTAATTTAAATTCTTTTTCTCTTTAATTACCAAAAATCAACAATTTACTGAAATATGATTCAGACCAATCTATATTTAATCAATCAAATTCTGTTAAGCTCAGATATTTAATTTCCCATCTCAGAAGTATGGAAGAAGAAAAAAAAAACAAAACAAACAAACCCAAAAAAAAACAAAAAACCAACTCTCGTATTCCTGAATGGTTTTCTTAATTTTTTCCTTGAAAATGTTGTTTTTCATCTTGTTTTGCTACAAATTATGTCCTGAAACATTTTATTTGACCAAAACAAAGTTATTAAGCATTATTAAAGGAATTTATTTATCAAATTTGATAAATCTGTAGGCACCTTTCATATACTAGATCTTGACCTTAATTTTCTGAATGGAGAAAAAAATACTGGTACAATAGCAAAGAAAACAAAAATTTCATGTTCATTTGTCTTTATTTGATTGATAAATCAGTGTATTAATAAAATATAAATTACAATAACTGTAGAAATAAATATCATAAAACGTATTTCTTTTCAATTTTTTCGACTTCAATATTCTATAGATTTGAAATACATAATGTAGTTTAGGTCTTTAGGAGTAGTCTACAAAGCACACACTTAGTCATCACTCTCGATTGCTTCATCGTCAATGAAAGGATTTTTTCTTTTCTTCATTGGCTTCCTTTTCGGTTTTGGCAGCTCGGATTTTTCCTTTCCCTCGTCTGTTTTAAGAGCTTTACTTGGTGAAACATCAGGTTGAAAGAAGGGAACGTCAGGCTCTTCTTCTGATGAACTGTTAGCATGCTAGATGAACACAAATAATATTGCATTTAATTGATCTGCCTAATAATGAACATAAAACTAGATCTCTCTTTCATTGATACAACATTGATCTACAGCACTGAAGAGTTATTTTTTTTTTTAAAGCTATTTTTTTACAATTTTTTTTTTGAAGCTTAACAATTTTAAAGTTAAAAAGCAAGGTTTTGAATTTTGAAAAATGAAAGTGGTTGAATAGTAATTATTTTGATAATTAATGTTTTTTTAAAAACTACACCCACCTCTGCAATCAATTCTTCTCCAATATCTGCAATGGAGTCCTTCAATTCCATCAGAAGCTTGAATTCGTCTAAACTCAAAGTAACTGTCTTATCCGTTCTTCTATTCCTAATATGCACGTAGCATTTCTGTGTTATCGGGTAAAAATTAATGGAAACAAGTTTACTGCTTCCAAAAAAGCTGTAACCACTCTCCAATACATTTGATGCGTTGTATGATTTTCTAAGTTCGGATGCCATATTCAGAGATTTTTATGGAAAAACTTCAGACTGAATGATTTGAAATTAAAAATTTCCCTCTTTCATAGTCTATGAGATTTGTTCAAGTGAATGAAGTGATCTTTTATGTATCAGATCCACCAATACCACCACCACATTTTCCACTTCGTAGTCCTGATCTTGATGATAGCAATAAAAATTCTTGAGAGGAATGTTAAACAATGATAATAATAAAAAAAAAACCATGATAGCAATAAAAAAAATCTTCAATTATGTTTATTAAAAAAATGCAAAAAAAACTTTAATACACATACTAAAACTTATATCGAAGTTCCATGGAACGAATTAATTATTACAACACATAGAGGGCGCTATTGTTTGTTTGTATTTTGTAAGTTTGCGTTTGGATCTAATAACTGTATGAGATTAATTCATCACAATGTGGTTTTTAATGATGTTAATGCTTTTGACATTGACTGAGCATGGTGAATCGAAAATGTTTATCATTGATTCAGTGCAATGCACGCCATCATCAAGAGGACTCTTAGAGTGCGACTGGAAAGGACCAGGGGATTATGTAGGATCAAGTGTCGACTTTGACACTTTGATTTTCAGAAGACTGTTTAGTTCTGGGTTCGTTAACATTTTCAATTCTCCTGGATTACGGATAGTGGAAATTCAGAGTGGTGATGCATCTTGCGGAAACATCAATGTACCAGAACATGTGAAAGTGTTTATAAAAGCCAAGTTATGTAATGAGGTACGCCATTTTTTTCGCGCGCTTTTTGACATGTAAACAAACAGAGTTATCTGACCATTACAAAGAAAAAAAAGTAAAGTCATAATTTTTTTTCCCATAGATTTTAATTCAGTTTAACAATGTCTAATTTGATAACAATGTATAATTGTGATAAATGTTTGGAAAACCAATTTTAGAGTTTCATTTTGGAGTTCAATAATTTCAGGATTTGTCATCCTCATCAACATCTGCACTAGGTTCTCCCAAGTCTTCAGGAGAATCCTCATTGACCTCAACTTCCTCTTCGTCTTCATCACCATCTGAAAAGGTACATTTTTTTTTATTTTTTGCATGATAATACATGGATGTATAAAATAATTATGTATAATATACATAAGTGTATTTGCAATTTTGTAAACCTTTGATTCATCTTGTGTATTTTATTGATTTCAGAGAACAACTATGACATTCGACTTTTCGACAACAGATCAGGCATATCCACATATTCAAATTTTTTGGGAAAGAATCAGTACATTACAAATTGCAGTCATTATTCTATCAGGTATTGTTTATTATGAAAAGAAAAAAAATTTCAATTTCCCTCCACAACCATTTCAGAACAGAGTATTTTTTCATTATTGTTCACTTTTATTTCTTTTGCAGTGAAATGTTCACTCCTCTCCTTATTTCTTTGTCTTAATTGCATAAGAAAATGTATAAACAGGAAAAGAAACAACATACACCATACAACAGATGTAGAAATGGGATCACTACCAAATCACATGAAAATTCATTGACAATATTTGACAATGTTACTGTAAGACACCTGATGTCCATTTATCTTTATTTTTCAGTTTTATTTGTGCTTTGTTTTTTTGGTGGAGTAATATGGAAAATATACAAAAGGTGCCATCAAAGAGAGAGAATTATTTATGCAAGAAATATAGACATGACCAACTTTTGAAAAACAAAACAATTCTTCTTTTCAGTTCTGTCAATTGCTGTTTGTACATTTCCCAAACCACGACCCTTACCACCACCAAGCCAAACTGATTCAGCTTCACAAACACCTACTAATCCTCGAGTTGTCCAACCTATCTCTCCTATCCAAACAACTACACATGTGCCATGTTCAAACAATCGACCTGCTCAACCTTCTCCTCCTATTCCAACAACTTCAACTCGGGTTCAACATTTAAATCCAAGGAACATTCCACCTTCCTCTCCCATTGGAATTCCTACCAGGAGACGGTCAGAAAGACTGAGAACCAGACAAGTTAATGTGATATGAATTTTCAACTACCTTTAACCAAGTGTTTTATCTCAGAGTCACAATCTCAATTGTTTTGAGTAGTATGAAATTGCTCTTTTTTTTCTTTTTTTTTATACTTCAAACCTGCAGACTGTTTTTACTGTGTTCAGCGGATTGTATGTTTTTTTGGTTTTTTTTTATAGTAAAACAATGTGAAGTACTTACGCAATGACTTAACAAATATTATTTTTCTTTTCAATGCATTTTTAGAACAGGTGTGGAAATATAATGATACTGGGTATATTCATTCCATTGTTTTGTTATTTGTGTTCACTTTCTGCAGGTAATAGACATTGTAATATCTTTGTTTTGTGTGGTTTTGTGTTTTTTCTTCTTTTTTTTTTCTTTTAGATTTTGTGTAGGGAATACCATGTTGATATCATTGGTGGTGTATTTTAAATTTAAAATAGAAAGAAATTCACATTCCTTCTATTCAAATCTGTATGTAGATGTAATACTGTTATGGTGTAAATATGTGATTGTCATCAGGATAATTGTTTCGAAATTGTAAAATATAACCTGTGTTTTTTATTTTTCTTGCTTGTTTTACTTTATTTTAATTTTTTTGTGAGGAATTTGAAAAAAAGGTTATGTGATTGTCATCAGGATAATTGTTTCAAAATTGTAAAATATAACCTGTATTTTTAATTTTCTTGCTTGTTTTACTTTATTTTTAATTTTTTGTGAGGAATTCAAAAAAAAGGTTATATTTCCTTTAGTTATTACATATTATTGTCCCCCCCCTCCCACTAAGTACTTTTTGGTCATTTATATTTTTTGCACTTAGTATGTAGTATAAAATCATAGCTTTAGATTTAGTTGTTATGCATATCAATATTTTGACAACATTGTCTCAAAAGTGATTTTTTTTTTATTTATTTACTTTGAATTTACATCTCAGGTGCATTTTTTGAAGTTTAGTTGTTATCCACACAAGCAGTATTGGACAACATTGTCTCTTTGTTTTTTAGTTTTCCATGTACTACTTATTACTTGAAGCAATGTTTTAATTTTTAGATTTTTTTTTTTAGAAAGATTTAGATAACTTTGAGTATGTGAGAGTTACGTTGAGTGTGTTTGTGTGTGTTTTAATTTTCCTTCAGGAATTTAGTTTGTTGAAAGAATAGCTTTACTTGTAGTATTTATACTGTTACATATAAACAGAATGGGATAATATTTTCTCATATTTTTAATATTCTACAATACTTATTTTTTAGACTGAGATTTTTTTCCAAAAGATTTTGATGATTCATCTCTGGTTTTCTATTCAAAATTGTTTCAAATGAATGAGAAAAATGTTCAAGAAGAAAATAAAGAAAATATGTATATATAGAACAATAAATTCTTTGCACTTACCATTCATGACTTCTAATATCAAAGTTTCGATTTTCATCCCCGGGTCTGTGTCCTCTGTTAAATCAATATAGACATTAGGTCCCTCTCTCTGAACTAGCTGATACATCAAAACTTCACCATTTATGGTGATTCTTACTTCAAAATCATCAATTATGTCTATGCTAACCGACATATTGGAGCATGAATTTGGAATTACTTTACTTGTACTTATATACAAAAGTGTTTTTTAGATCTCAAAGTGATATGATGCATTTGTTTTTGAACTTCTCTGCATCTTGTCATAGATGTTTATCAGTGTTGTAATATTATGAATCCTAAAAGTTCAGAGAAATAGTTGAAAAAACAAAAAGCAAACAAAACCTGCATAATGATATTATCTTCAAAGGTGTTACATGTAACATTCTGGATCTGTGCATGTTTGGAATTCAATATATTGACTTCCTGTTAAATTTAACATAGGTTAAATAATTCCACAAGATAAAAGAATGAATGCATGTTTTTGTGAAGTGGTGAAATTAAGTTCAAATTTCATTAGAAAGAAAATATATTTACTTATTATCTGTGACATGTAAGATGCTAGTGGAATGGGTACATTATAATGTGGTTTGTGATAATATCTCAACATAATGAGTTTTTTATACTGCTGCATTAATCTAGCAGATTTCCTTTTTTTTCCATTTTACATATTCATATAGTGGTTAATATTTACAGTGAATCTAAGAGTTATTTCAGTTTTTAAAAGTCAAAGAAACAAAAATCATCTAGGTAAGTTAGTACCACATTTCAAATAAGGCTCATATTTTACATTAGGGTTTTTTTTTCCTTGGGAATAAAATGATCTGTTTCATCTTTAACTTCTCTACTACTTTAAGAATATTAGTAGAAATCATATTGACCATTCTGTTGACAATTATACATGTATTTGGACTATTAAATTTGAGATAATCAAGGAAAATAAATTTCATCAGGTATATTGCCTTTTTTTTTTATTTATGTCGCCTTTCAATACCAAAAATGTAGCACCTTTATAATTATATCATATCAATAATCTTGGTTGATGTAATTACATCATATCAATAATCTTGGTCACACCTGGTTCTACATGTAACCCATGGCTATACACGTAAGCCCCCAAGGTGGTCCAGTGTTAGCAAAATCATACTACTGGCAGACCCCCCCCCCCCTGTTGCTACGCCCCTGTATAAGCTGGTGGCGTATACAAAGGGATTGAATGCCCTATGGAATCATGGTCTGTATTATAGTCGTAATACCTCCCGCACGGGGGGGGGGGTGTTACTCCCTGACCTTTTCGGCCGATTGCGCACTTTCTAAAATCTATTTTATACTATTTTGTTATGTATATATGTATATTATCTTCTCGTCCGGAATTACCCCAACCTTTGTCCGGAATTACCCCATGTCGTCCGGATTTACCCCATTTCATCAGCTGTGTGAAATCCGTCTTATGAAAAACAAAGGGAGAGAATTCGAAGATTAGATCGATCGCTCTCTGTTGTCAAAAGCTGTTTCCAAAGACATCACGTAACATCTTAGTCAAATCAATGTTTTTCTTTATTAGAGAATCTTTACATCTAGGCATGGCCAAGATTGTCCGGAATTACCCGGATTGCCCCTATTTATATGTAACATCAATACTTCAAGTCCATGTGCTTAAATCGCATAACTGCCGCATCACGTGACTAGTCTAAGTATAAAATAGAACTGTCCTCGATATGTAGTTATTAATCATAATTACAATTATCCGATATAAATAATGGACTAAAAATAATCGCCATCCTGATTACGACTTCATTTTTAAATACAAAATTTAGTCGATATTTCCAATGCGCACCTTAACTGTACTGCGTAAACATTGCAAATTATTTCATTTTCAAATATAATGGGAAATATGTACATGTCCCGCCCCCTTTTCAAGCCTCAACTATGGTGGCCTGCGTACCCCACATTCAAAATAAACATGTATATAATTTGTATGACTTGTATTTTTACAATGAAGGCAAAGTCATTGTAATTAATCTCGCATAAAAAATTATAAAGAAGCACAATGCAAGCATCACCCCGTTTTTCTTGTATTTTTTACAAATCAAACGTGCATATCTTAAAAAGTATGATATCTTAAAATGTCTTTGTGTGAAAATGTTGTAATTCATTTTTTTTTTAAAGAAATGATTCATCTCTTTATTTTTACTAAGAAAAAATAATACCTTTATGATAAAATAAACGAGAAATATGACGTTTTCTTTTATTTTCGTTCTATTTAATTTCTTTTTTCTTAAATATTGACCTTTCTGCACTAAAACTAACAACGCAATGTCAAACATCTGAATATAAAACTATTTGGCAAAAAACGAGTATTTTGTTTGATTAATAGTATCGGGATCGATATTCTGTTTGTGTTCAGATTGGTTTTGTTTTTAGTATGTGTTTATGATTTCCGGTCATGGTACGGATTAGGCGGATTGTCTACATGTATGATTGATTTTGTTTTATTTGATCGATTTTAACCTGTCAGCGTGTAAGTTTATTTGTACTGCATCAATTATCAAACTGTTCTATTTGATTTTTTGGGAATTTATGTCACTGTATAATTTTTTTCATAATTTGTTTATAGGTTGAAACGAATTAAATGTAGCAACACTGATATATAGTTATATTAAGACTGACTGTACCGGACAAGCGATTCGCACAAAACACTATATACCCTCTCACTTTTCAAGCGGGGGGTATAATAAAGACATAACAGGTGCTACACCAGTAACTGCATAACATTGCTCATAGGGGATTAGAGTTTGATATGCTCTTCACTCCTTTTCTTTAAATTTATTTCTGATTCTTTCAAAACTTACGTGTTTTGTTTTAATCGCGCTTAATGATGACATTTTCCCAAATGTTCAAGGTCACTATAAAGGGTGATCCAGATTTATGGAATTGGCCCAGTTGTTGCCTACAGAAATACAAGTGGTGAGCCACACCAATCATCAGAGATTGGATCCGCAGACAAAACAATGGCGGTGAAAGGAGTACTATATGACAGAACCAAACTGGATATTGTAAAAGTTGGAAGAACAGTCATGTTGCTCAATGTTATAATAAGGTAATCACAAACAGGAGGAAAATCTTAAAGACCGGACCTCTGGATGTCCCAGAATCCCTGATAACACACCTGCTGCGGAGGTGAACATAAAAAACTGTCTAAAGTCCCCCACCCTTGATACCCTCAGGAGACAAGTTGTTTCAGTGAGTATTTATTAACATAGATTTTAGTTTCTTGCATATTTGTAATGTTCTGCAATATTTATAATTCTAGTCTAGGACTCGAAAAGCTCCCTCAATATATTTAAAAGATGATGAGGCAATTCTTTATGTGTTTGATCTTTGTTGCAACCATACAGTGTATTAAATAATGCAATAGAAACCAAATTATAAGAATCATATGATTAATTTATTATGTATATGTTTCGTCGTAATTATAATCGAAATTAAAAATCAGTACAGAATGTAGACTAACTTCTCTAGTGATATAAATTACAGAACCTTAAAACTATCATTTATCTAGTACGGCTGCTGCTTCCACGGACTCCTCAGCCACGGAGACAGCTGCTACCTGTATCAATTGACAGAATTAAGATCAGCATTTAAGCCTTATTTTTTCTCATAAATTGAACCTAATTTTATTTTAATGTATTTTGTAACAATTTAATTTTATGATCTCTGCATCATTTCCGTTTTAGCTTGTTACGTCTTCTAGAATACATGAAAATTGCCCTTTTTAATATTGATGTATGATGATAGTGAAGTTAACATTTAATGAAAATAATATTTTCATTAAATGTTAACTTCACTATCATCATACATCAATATTAAAAAAGGCAATTTTCATGTATTCTAGAAGACGTAACAAGCTAAAACGGAAAATGATGCAGAGATCATCATTTCCAACCTACCCCTTACAAGAGGAACTGCAAAGTTTAAGATCGCTAAGCCATGAATCATGAATGCCAGTGTACAGCAGATGGAGATATTAACTTTATGGAGGACTATTTTAGAAGGCGCAGAGTGCAATTTGTATCCGTGTAATTTTCTTGCTTTGTAAAGGACACCATAAGAAACAGCAAAAGAAAAAGGAGACGAGAACTACTTATAACCTTCATAAACGTGTTAATTCAAGTTACCTAAGCTCCAGTTAGAGAGTGCATAAACGAAAATCAGTTTTATATGAGTTAAAACAGTGATACCCATATATAGAGGAAGACATTTTTGTACCTGATGCTTAATGAATTAAATCACATTTACTGTTTTCCTTTTCTATTAGCTTTTATGTTCTCACATATATACTATATGTATAAACAAGCATATAAATATTATAATCTTTACATAAAACTTCATTGAGTTGTTTTTTCCCACTGCATGCGCATATATTAAAACAGAATTTTTATTGTAAGAAAATCGATCGGAGACTAGGTATGTTGTGTTCAATATTAATATTACTAAATTGCTTTATGACCATGTATCCTACTATAATAGAAAATTGTAAAATCAAATACATAGATAAAGTTTTGAAATAAAAAAAAATTAATTAAAAAGAAAACTTTTTTCTAGGGATGTGCGATTTTATCAGCATACCGGTATGTCGTGATTTTTTGATGCGTGATACTTATCGTGAGTAGTATAAGCGGTTTAGCCGGGGAGGTCAACTGAGTGTACTTTTTATGCAAATGAGGTCAAAAATGCTGGATTCTGATTGGCTGAGGAGAAAGGAAGGTCAAAGGAGTGCAGGTTGGGGGTCTAGGGAGGTCAACTGAGTACAACCCTAACCCTAACCCTGTTTTACTTTAACTTTTTGTTTACTACGTACTTCATTAAAAACTTATATAACCCCCATTGAACGTTGTTGTGTTGTAGTTGCTACTGCGGGGGAAGGCCGATTCCCGAACACATGGACAGTCATACGATACTCTACCATCTGACTATGTAGATCGTCGTTCTCATACAGATAGAACAGTAAGTAGTCTCTATCTCTTTCGTTTACAAAGAATCGGTGAAACATCTGCTGGATGTCTCCTGCTATTGCACACAAATCCTTGCGAAATCGTAACAAGATTTCTAGTAAGTTGATCGTCAGGTTTGGACCAGACAAAAGACTGTCATTTAATGAAGGATATGGAGATAACGAACAGTATTCAATCTCAGCGTCCATTAAACAATATACAGAATAAGAGCAGAGCAAACACGGACCTCTGAAACATCAGAGGTGGGATCAGGTGCCATGGAGGATTGAGCATCCCCTGCCGACCGGTCACACCCGCCGTGTGCTCGTTGTCATGATCAGGAAATAACGGAAAAAATCCGTGGTCAATTCAGTGTATAAATAATGGACTAACAATTGGTATGAAAAACGTCAGTCAGCATATGACTCAATGATAAATTGTATTTGCTGACAAGGTCATTGTATCGACCATAGAATTTACGTAATGATGACTTTAAACGAGACTGTTGATATTCTTGTTTCATCAACTTGCTTGTCAATAATTTACCTCGTTTAAGAAATTGTT